CTTGTTGAACAACCATTTATCGGAAATAATTGTTAAAAACATGTCAATGAATAGAAGTGTTTTTTTTTTTTATAATGAAAACGAACTTTATTGTTGGGATCAAAGATTAAACATATATATGAAACAAGGAAAACAGGTAAAAAAAAATTTGAATGAAAAGATAAAATTTGAACAATTACAGTTACTTTTTACCGTTACCAATCAAATAGGTATTTGTGCCCTGTAAAGTGAATGGGCTCGGGTTTGCTCCTAAAATTCGCCAAACCAATGCTGATAGTTGTGTGCTAGGTTCAATCTTAGTTAATGAGCCATTCATTTGTCGACGAAAAACAGTAGCGCACAAATACGCGCATGCACCAGTAGCGTAATATATGTAATAACGTAGAGACTCCGTCTTAACTTCGGTGCAGCAAAAATGCCACCAAATTGATGTTGGCAAAGCAATATGTTGTTTCACCAAAGACTGCTGTCAGTCACTGACAGATCTGACCGGGACAATACGCAATAACGCCTCTGCCCATTTTCTTGGTAAACCACAACCAAAAATTGCAGATGCTAATGGTTTCAGTGAAAACAACAATTTTATTATTTAATGTACTTTTACAATACCTTAGTAATTTTTTTTTTTCTTTTTCTCATCCTTTAATGCAGTAAACACAGTGTTCTCTGATCATGAACAAATTTATGAAGTTTACGGTACAATAGATGTAATGAAAATTTTTATTCAATCAATATATACTTTCAGTAAAGATTAAAGTTATCTATACACAAATACAGTAATCAGTTAAATAGATGAAAAAAAAAAATGAAAATTTTAATAGATTATTTTCAGTTTTTATAAATAATCATTTTATTTTTAATATATCAAACCAATTTTTTTTTTTTGGCCACCTACAATAGTACCAGCAATCAATCAATATTTTTCTGAAATGTTAAATAAATCGAATATTCATTGCTGATGTTCACCTATATAGTTTTGTCCACTTATATTCTTCTTATTTTATTTTAAGACTGTAAGAGGAGGTGTTAGCGAATGTAATCCAAAAAAAAAAAGATTGATGCAAAAAAAAAGATATTTTTGAAAACTTTTCACCAAAGATATACTGTGTAGGTATCAACAACCAGTGTTCAACTGATGTACATCTTCTTAACCCACTAATCAAGCCATATATAAATCAACATAGAAAGTGTTTTTGTAATTATAATCTTGATTTTAACAGTCTATCTATCTAATTCTTTTAGTATATTTTTTCTTCCATCTGACTAGATAGGTCAAAAGATAAGCATTTCCTACATAATAACGAGCAGTAAAAACAAACAAAAAAAAAA